TCCTTCCTTTTCCCTGTTACTTATGTGAAGTGAACATAGTCTTACCTACCGCAAAGGGTTGTTGTAAAGATAAATGAATATACGCATGTGCTGTGTGCTCAGTAGATGTCAGTTTCCTTCCTCTCAGGATCATCTTCAGTCCTTTATATTTGCCAGGGTTTGGGATGAAAGCTTCTGTTTCATTCATTCATTCAAAATATTTAGTGCTTAGTGCTACTAAGCGCTACACCAGACTCTGGAGATGGCGCGGCAAGCAGGAGCTGCCCGGTGGCGATGCAGACAGCTGTATTACAGCCGTGTGTGTTAGGATAGGGAAAGCACAGAATGACATGGGCGCGCCCAGCAGAGGCTTCTCAGTGTTAGGTCCTCAGGGAAGACTCCCAGTGAGAGCCCAGAGCCATGGAACAGGGGAGAGTTAGCAGGTCAGATGAAGAAGGCGTGGCACAAAGATGTGAAGACGTTAGTTTGGCTGGAGGTGAGGAAGACACCATAAGGCTGGGGAGTGAGTGGCGTCCAGCTCATGAATGGCCTTTGTTAAGCCCTGAGTCCTTTGTGCAGGAGGACAGCACAGTGGTTGAGAGAATGAGTCTTAGGTCCAGACAGACCTGGGATCAAATCTCAGCTTCACCTCCTACTGGGTATTTGACCTTGGCCAAGTGAATTAATCTTTTAAAAACTCTTCACTTTCCCAGTTCAAAAATGGTGCACGACACATAGTAAGTGCTCTGTGTGGGCACCGGGGAGATCCTGCAGCATCGTGAGCAGAAACGTAACATGATCGGATTTCATGCTGTTGAAGCCGTGTGGAGAGAAGATCGCGTGGGGTAGAACTGGAAGCAGGCAGCCCGGTTGGGAGGCCATGGCAGTGACTAAGAGCGCGTGCATAGTGGGCTGCCCTGGCGGGGGGGGGGTGTGAGATGGTGACGTGCGGAGGTGTGTGACAGGTGAATGGTAGAGAGAAACAACAGAACGTGGTGACTGGTTAGATGAGACTGGTGGAAAACAGGGACATGGCTTGGGCCACCTTTCACTGAATTAGGGGACAGAGGAAGAGGAAGAGACGGGGGAATGAGGAGGATGGCGGATAGGATTTTGAGTTGACATCCACACAGACGTGAGGGAGTAGTTGGATCTCGGGATCTCAGGAAAGAGGTCTGGATAAGACATACAGATTCGGGAGTTATTCAGGGGTCACAACTCACGTGTCTTTGGGGGCCAGGCACGTAGCATACATGAGCGCGTTGGCAGGGCCCGGGAGGTACTGGAGAGCGGATCGCTGTGCTGGGGATCTAGTGGGGCCTCCGTTCGATGCCCAGCACACCTCCTTTTTGCAGAGCCCAGAAAACTAAAACTCGTATTTCTAAAACTTTCTTGCAGCTAGGGCTTCTAGTAATACACATTTGCACAGGATGGGAAGGTAGAATGAGCTCTACTGACAAGCAGAGGCATGGAGGTGCTTGTTTTTTCGGAGGCAGGGTCTTAGCGTTGTGAACACTGAGGACACTAGCTCATAGCTTTGCTTATAGCAGTTCTGTCAGCCACGGCGTGGTTTGGGATCTGGTAGCAGTAGCTGCAGCTTCCTGATGAGGGCTTCTTGATCATGGAAGAGGGAGGTGGTAGCCTGATCCAGTGGTATAGCTCCTGGCAGCACAGCTGCGAGTACATTTCTTGGGTACTTCCAATGATTCTGTAATAAAGAATCCATTTCTGCATAACTAGCCAGATTCTGTTTCCATAGCTAAACTCTGACAGATGAAAAATGAAATAATTTGCAAAACACGTGCCAGTCATACAAAAAGTGGCTACAGGGGAGAGGGGTGTGGGCAGGCAATGGATGTGCTCATAAAAGGGCAACAGGAGGGATCCTTGGGCATTGGAACCGTTCAGTATCTGGACTTTGACGGTTGCTACATGAATCTACACAAATGATAAATTTGTATGGAACTTAATGCAAACACACATGAGTACAGGTACAACGGACAGAATCTGAATTATATCACTGGATTGTGTCAATATCAGTATCTTGGCTGTGATATTGTACTGTGATTTGCAAAATGTTATCATTAGGGAATACGGGGCAAAGTGTACAGGGGTACGAGGGATCTCTAGTGTTTCTTACAACTACACGTGAATCTACAGTTATCTCAATAAAAATTTCAATTAAAAGAAGAAAAGTAGCTGTGACCCACAAGTTTGGGAAGCCTGAATTGGTAGTAACTGAAGCTATGGAAATGAATGAGGTCCCTCCTAGAGAGGGTGTGGCCTAAGAAAATGAGACATCCAAGGACATAACTCTTAGAAGTAGCAGCGGAGACTGAGAAGGAACAGCTGAGGGCTAAGAGAGCAGCCGCACGAATATGGTGTCCCGAAGTTCGCAGGAAGAGATCCTTTCAAGGAAGGAAAGGCCAGGGCAGTGGAATGCCCTGAAAAGGCCAAGGAAGACGGCTTAATCCGTAGTGTTCAGCCACCAGGAGGCTGTTTGCAACGTTGGAGAATGCCGTGGTGATGATAAGTGAGGGGCACATGAGGGAAAGAAGTGGGGTAACAGAAATGGTTGTAGATAGTTCGAGTGAGAAATTAGAATAGCCGATTTTACAGTTTTTAAAAAAAACAGTTACAGGTACGGCTGTAGGCGTAGAACGGCAGGTAGCAGTTTCTTGCGTGATGTGGAGAAGTGATGGTCTGGAAGTCACACTGAGGATTGAGAAGGATGCAGCCCCTGTTCTGACTTGAGAAGTTGGGAGAGAAATGTTGGTGAAAGGTTAGAGAACTGACCACAGAAAGGGAGTTCAGAAGGTGCCGTGGAAAGGTGCAGAGGGAGGAGAGGGCGGCGTGGAGCCAGCTCAGGAGAGGAAGCAGCCGCTCCGTTGAGAGCAGAAAGCCAGTGGAGCCCGTGTCCAGACAGTCCGCAGAGACCGTGGGGGTGGGCTGTGCAGGGAATGTGCGTGGCCACAGCCCCTGTTGGGCCGGCTGCGTTGGAAGAAGTCCTTGTGCTTGTGTGCCTCTCTCCTCTCCCTGCTTCCCTCACCCACGTGCCCCTCAGGCATCTCTTTGTGGTGTTCCAGGTCCTAGGGATTCTGCAGTGAGCAGAACAGTCTCCACCCTCATTGCAGTGGGGGAGAAACAATAAACAGACCCTGTACCATTGGGCAGTGCACTCACTTTGAAGAAAAACAACGCAGAATAAGAAGCCAGAGATGGGGTGCCTGGAGCCGGATGGCTATTCTGAAAGTGGGTTCAGGGAGGGCCTTTCCACGGTGCAGGTTTTAGATGAGGGCCTGGAAGAAGGGAGTGAGCAAGCTAGCCAAGGGTGGAGGAGACCGTCAGGCCACGGCAGGGCAGGCCCCAAGGGGAGAATGGTGTCATCGTGCCAGGGTAGGTTGGAGTGACTGGCACAGAATAAAGTGGGGAGAGGGCAAGTGAGGGCCCCATGAGGTGGGGGCGGGAAGCCCGGAGCCCTGGTTTGGACCTGTTGTACTTGGGATGACCCTTTATTAACAGTATTCAGGCTTGCCTCTTCTTCACATTTGTTATCTAATATGTAAATTGGGATGGTAAAATCTACTTTGTTGTGCATATTGAAAAAAATGTACATAAAATGCTGTGCATAACACACATGATTAATGGTATAGGGAGTCATTTATGTTTAGATATTATCACATTTGTGCTTCATAAAACTAAAGGACTGTAGAATGTTAGTAATTATTTATGTTCCCTTTTGCCTCTCTTTTTAATTTTTAAATTATCTTCTAATGATACATTCATTGGTTGTCATGGTTAACCTGCCTCGGTTTTCAACTTCAAGAATATAACTAAATACTTAATCATGTATCATTTGGAAACTGCCTTTTTCTTATGCTACCCCAGACGTTTTTCTTTGATCTTCCTTCTAGCCAAGTAAATCTATTTTCTCCTCTACTTCATTTATGGGTTTTCTCAGACTTACATCCATTATGCCCCTCCCTCCTCCCCCTCCTTGTCCCTCTTGAGAATTTTACTTCCTGCATGTGGCCTTTTGAGATGGACCCTGACTAGTTACTCCACTTCACCCTGCTGTAGTTACAGGTGATGGCTTTTACAGTTCATTGCGTAGGGACGGTTGTACTTACAGTATTTGTGTGTGTGTGTGTGTGTGTGTGTGTGTGTGTGTGTGTGTGTGTCTCCCAACGGTGTCCTTGTAACGCTGGCAATACAGTGACCTTTGGCAAATGTTGATGACATGTTGAATAAAGGAATGGAAGCAGGAGGATTATTTATATCTGTGTTTTATCCTTGTTGGAGAAACTCTGGGTAATTGAAGTGTGTTGTTAACCATGCTGAGGTATTTGGTAAACTGTTCTGTGCATATGGTTGTTTTTAATTAGTCAATAGAAACTGACTGTGTGGGCTGCTAGGTGCAGCCCAGCGAGCGTTTCCCCTTGACCCTTGGGGCCTAGGGGAGTCCATTCGGTAGGATCATCAAGATAGCTTCTGATATGTTATTAAAAGTCTAGGTCCATCTGGTTTCCACACTAATAGATATCACTCCCTTTGACTTTCATTGTCTATTGAACTATGTGATTTTAGAAATCAGGGGGTATTGGTGCATGAAATCTCCAGGCGGTGAAGACTGAAGTTCACAGGAAAAGACTACAGGGACTTTTAAACCATTTTATTATTTTTCTCTCCACTTCTTAATTTTGCTGCCACTAGTGGTTATATAATGGTCAGCATAAAGGTACATTGTCCAGATTCACCTAGGTACTGGAATATGGGGGAAATGTACTATATAGCATTAATGAAAACTAAAGAGCTGGGAGAATTTTTTTTTCTTGAGAAAATTGTGAATGCCAGTATATCTAATCCGTCCAGGAGGGAAGAATGAGAAGCTCTGGTAGCAAAACCAGTGAAATAAGGTTTACTAACAGCAGTTTTATCATTTGTGTACCTTTTTTTGTCATACAATCAAGGGTGAAATGGTCCATGTTTACATTTGAAGAATTTTACCCCTTTCTTTTCAGAAACTAATTCTGAAGCGAGCCCTTATTATTGTACTGCAGTGGTGTTTCAATCACAATTTCAGTGTTCGACTGTATGCTTTAGTTGCTCTTAAGAAAATCTGGAACATGTGTAAAACATCACGCATTGAAGAATTTGATGCCTTGACTTCTGTTATCGAATCCAGTCTCCATCAAGTGGAAAGCATGCATGGAGCAGGGTAAGGAAGCCTTCACTTGTCAGGTCCACCTTGACCTTTTATTGCTTTCTTATCCTCAGTCCTCTATTTTACAAATAATCTTTTACATACTTTTAGACGTCATGTCTCTTTGGTATAGCCAAACGTCATCCTTTTTTGTTGTCAAAGGACTGCTAAGCAGCAGCATGATCTGATTAAAGACACGCTCTTAACCTCTCAGCTGCACTAGTTAAAGCTGAAGGCTTTTTTTTCTTTTCTAAGAGAACTCTTCTATTTCCCAAACAAAGTCTTAAACAGAAGCTCAGTACCAAGCAGGTAAAATGGATGGGGTGAGGGAGGAGTGCATGACCCAGTATTTTGTAAAGCCCGCACAGTGGTTCCGACCTGTGCTTCTCCTTTTTCTCACACCTGGCACGGCACAGAAGCAGGCTACAGTGTCCTACGCATTTCCTGGTATCTGAGCTTGTTTCCTCATCTCTGAGGTGGCGGTGGTGGTTTGCATTCTTTAATTATTATCATTGATTATTGCCTCCAGGAATGCTGGGATTTTTGTAAATTTCAGAAACCCAGACAATGCTAATCAACATAAAAGATTTTTCTTCAAAAGCTCAAAAAGCACCCAGTGGTTTATATACACAAACAGATAAAGGTCGGAAGCAGCATATTAGGCATATAGTGTTAGGCAAATAGTGTTTGAAAAATCAGTAACATTTAGGAGTCTTTGCCATGACCATCAAGTTAGCACATGGAACAAATAAGACTATTTATGGGTCATTACATAGCTTCATGTGAGGCTGGGGTGACTGCCTTATAACCCTTCTGCCTCCCTTAACTTTTGATACATTTGTTGAAAAGAGGCATTTGGGCAATGAAGTGGGTAAGGGAGGTTTTAGGGGCTTGGGAGAAAGCTATGTAATTCAAGAAATATAAATATTAAAATGTAGTGACATGAGCAAGAACAGAGAAAAGGGGATAGAAGGAGAAAAGCAAGTTGGGTGGCAGGATGGGTTATGGATGAAGGACAAAGAGCAGAGGCAGGGCTGGGTGCGGTGGCTCACGCCTGTAATCCTAGTACTCTGGGAGGCCGAGGCAGGCGGATTGTTTGAGCTCAGGAGTTCGAAACCAGCCTGAGCAAGAGCGAGACCCCGGCTGTACTAAAAATAGAAAAATTAATCGGACAACTAAAAATATATAGAAAAAATTAGCTGGGCATGGTGGCGCATGCCTGTAGTCCCAGCTACTCGGGAGGCTGAGGCAGAAGGATCGCTTGAGCCCAGGAGTTTGAGGTTGCTGTGAGCTAGGATGACGCCACAGCACTCTAGCCCGGGCAACACAGTGAGACTCTGTCTCAAAAAAAAAAAAAAAAAAGGCAGGATGGACTCCTGGGATGCCATTGTGTGTAGTTTTCTGAACTGGAGAACTACTTCCCAGAGCTGGGCCCAGCAAAGACTGATCATCAAAGTTAGTAACTCACTGTAGCATTGTCTAGGATCCCTCACTCTCCAGGCGTAATACGGCAACTAGAAATTTTGATTTTTTTAAGCTATCTTAAGTGTCTCATTTCTTCTCGGTGTGTGGTTATGTAGGTATTTATCATCTCTCTCGTTTGGTGAATACGTGGCTGAGTTTATTTAGATGTGTAGATTTGGACATTAGTGTTTTTCAGGATCGCATTTGCATCATCTTGTAGTCATCCAAACGCAAGCTACGAGAGTTGTTCCACTCATATTTAATATATAATTCAATGAACTCATTGGTATTTTAATAGAAGACACTGTGTCTGTATGATGTGCTACTTGTGTTGGGTGATTAGAGATGAGTAACCAGGAGGGTATAGTTAATCCATAGACTTTTAGGCTTTCCTTAGTGGAAGGAAGTTGGAAGGAGTTGTTATAATTTAACATGCAGGCAGGCATTTGTTTGTCAGTTTATAGTTTTCTCTATGATCAGATCATGATTGATTGGTATTGAGATGTCTTAGCTGGTTGTTGATCTTGTTCTAAGTTTCTTGGTAGCTGTGCTTTGATCTCGAAAAATAATTGGCTCATATTTTTTATTAAACAATAAAATACTCATTTAAGAAATAGCTTGTTCTTTTTAAATCCTGGTACCAGGTAGGAGATACCACCATTCAAAATAAGGAACTCTGGGCATTAAGCCGCCTCTGTTCTTTGAATACAGACCTCCTTAGAACCGGCTTGCCCCAGACAGAGCTAAGTGCTGGGAGTAGGGGTGGGGGGCAGCAGCAGGCCAGGTGGAGAAGGTTCTGTCTTTACAGGGCTCACAGGTGGGATAGACATCAAGTACTACACACACACACAAAAAGTTTTTAAAAGAAATCATAGAAAAATCAAAGGTCGTAATGAAAAAATACAGACTATTCAGTCTGGGTGGTTTAGGGAAGGCCTTTCTTATAACGTGATGTTTATGTTAAAATCTAAAGGATGAATAGGAATTAGGCAAATGCAGAGGGAGGAGAGAGATTTCAGGACGGAAGAAGCAGTGTTTGGGAAGCCTCAGGCAGCAAGGTGCTCGATTTGTCCAGAGCACCAGAGGAAGGCTAGGGTGAGTTTAACTCTTCACTGCAAGGGACAAGGGAGGGAGCAGAGTAGCAGCAAGGCTTGGGTTTCTATTAAGGGAATTAGGAAGCCAGTGAAGAGTTAAAGGTGAGAATGATGTCATGCACAGTCATGCCTGGTGCTTTTCCATTTTTATCAGTGAGAAGGGCAGATCAGAGGTGGACAGGAGAGAATGGGAGGACAGTTGTGATTTAGATTAGTATCAGATTAGTGGAGGGACAGAGAAGTGGACAGTTTGGGTAAAGTAAAATAAGAGCCTACAGTCCTTACTGGATTTAGCAAGAGCCATTTCAGTAGTGTAGTTGGTGGGGACGGAAACCAAATTAAAATGGGTCCAGGAATGAATAGGACAATATGTTAACAGTTGCCACATCAGAGTGGTAGGTTCATCGACCTCATAAATTATATTATTTTCTTTACTCGAATATTTAGAATATTTAAAGTATTTCATATCTTTAATTTTTTTTAAATGGGTGGTGAGGATGCCAACTTATGTGGAAAATTGTCTCTAAGAAAAAGTGTGGTAGAAGTACAGTAGCTAGTGTTGGATGTGCTGTCAAAAGAGGGCTTTTATTTTATTTTTGGTAACAGTTGTTTTTAAGTAATACTCATGTTTAGGAAATTGAACAGTATAGAAAAGCATCAAATAAAAACGCGACCATCTCCTTCACTTTTCTTCTTCCTCCCTTCCTCCACCAAAGGTGAAAGCCCAGCAAATTGGGTTTTCTTTTCATAGCTACCTAATATTCCACTGTACAGCAGTGCCTTAAGTTATCTCACAGCTCCCCCACTCGTGGACACTTCAGTAAGGTTTTGTTTTTTAAAATTAGACATAACAGCCCTTTGAAATAGGCTGAAGGAAAGGCTAGAATAGAGAAAAAGGGAGGGTGCAGAAAGTGGAGGAGACAGAACAGAATCCAAGGGAATGGGGTCTAGAGCACCCATTGAGGAATTGTCGTTGGAAGAGGAACTCTAGAAAGTGAAGGGGGAAGAGGGCAGGTGGGTAAGGGGGTGGCAGGAAGATACAAGGGTTGTGCGAGGTGCGACCATCTGCTGATAGGGAGAGGGGCGCTCAGGAGCGAAGAAGGTACATTGGCCAGAGCAGGACAATGATCTTGCCAGAAAAATGTCTTGAAATTGCTACTTAGTTTTTGGGTCGATGATCATGAATTTAAACTGAAACCTGCCTGTTATGTTGTAAAATTTTTATCCTTACCTTTTTTGCCTTTTAAAACTTGACAACAAATGGGTTAAAAATTTAAGCCCTGCTCATGTGAAGTTTGGTTTATGAAAGTAGGTCCAGTTTGGCTGTGTGTTGTGAGTCTTCAGAGTAGACAAAGTGACTTACGAAATGGTTTTCTCTCTTGAGAAAAAAGTTTATTGCCAGAGAGAGACTTTGGGGTTCGAAGCCAGTAGTTTTTTGCACCATTGTCAGGTGACAACCATCTTTCACCCTCATCATGTTTCACTGAGCACCAGCCTGAAGTTCCTTACTCTCTTTGCACTCTCTACTAGGTGGGTGCCTGTACTTACAGATTGGAGACCTGGGTTTTATTCTTGTTGAATCGTTGGTTTTATATGACTTTGAAAGAGTTACTTAATTTCTCTATTTGTCTTTGCATCCCATTTCAAAATGTGAAATTTAGTAAGTGCCAGTCTTTATAAGTATGTTGAACTCAGAGGTATGTATGTATAAATCTTAGGATAAAATCCACAAAATTTTTCATTCCTTCTAAATTCCACAGTACCTCTTTAAGATACCTAATTTATTTTTCCTACCTCATCAGAGTTATTTCACTTGTCTGTGGCTCATATCATATTTTTATTCCTTAGGAATGCCAAGAAGAATTGGCAACGCATCCAAGAGCATTTCTTTTTTGCAACATTTCACCCACTGAAGGATTATTGTCTGGAGGTGAGCAGAGAATGTCATTTGTAAATTCTCTGCTGTATCTTTAATCTCGATGCTTGCTTTCTGCCATAGTAGTTGAAGGGTTACGATTAGGGTAAATTATTTTTCTTGCTTACAAACATCACCCTAACATTTTAAATTTCTAAGTTTGATTTTTGTCACTTTATGCAGATGACTTGCTTGCATTCCACTCCTAGGCAGTGAAAATTGGCTAGTCATTTTCACTTTCTATTTCTTAGGCAGTGTCTGGCTTGTAAACAATGGAAGGGAATATTTAACTCTAAACAGAAATCTGTTCTGACATTAAAAGGAAATGAGTGAGAACATTTGTGCAGGTGAGATTTTACTGTACTGAAGCCCATTGTTAATGAAAGAACAAAAAGATGTACTCTTTTGTTAATGGCATTTTTTCGGTTCTGGATAATGAAAATTGTGTAGCAAATCATATACCACCTCACTGCTTGTAACAATGTGCTTATGTAATTTTAGGACCCATAAACATTTTTATTATGATTAATATGTAAACTGATTCAATATGTAAATTATCATAATTTGCATAAATTAAATCACTTTCTCCTTTTTTCAACTGTGATTATAATTTGCTGCCTTTGAATTTAAAGCATTTGACCTAGAGGACTTGTAAGTATCAGTAATGTTGACTCCTATGCATAAGCAGTTTTTTTAGTGGATTCATAATAAACTAGCCTTTAAAAAAATAAATGTATATTGTGAGATATACATCATACAGCATTAATGTGTATTTTCTGCTGCTTTACTGCAAATATTATTTAGGAATTTTCAAATATTTTAACATGCTCTGCTCTGTATTCTTTAGTGCCCAGAGTGCTTTGTCTGCCATCTTTCTGCAGGACTCCTTTAATAACTCTAGTGTTAAGTCAACCTTTTTCTATTCAGTTCTCCAGCAGGAGTAAGTCCTTCGCTTCCCTCTTTCCCTCACCCCTGCCTCTGACTGCCTCGCTCTCTTATATTTTATGTTTATTCTCCATTAGTGATGTGAATCAGAACTATATGTGTAAATTTGATGATGGAAGTTCACAAGAACTGTGTCTCTCTATATTTGGAGCTATACTTAGTGCCCACTTAATAAGCATTTAGTTGCAATATTATGCCAGTTTAAGTTTGCACAAACATGGCTAGCATAAGGAAAACCATATTCGTTCTAAAAACTTCCATGAAGGCCTGCATACTGTTGTGAGTTTATCATTTCATTTTTAAATTGCCTGTTACTTGGGCATCTGCTTCTTACGTGCCTTTTCACTGGATTTTTTTCTGGTTTCAGTTTTCTTTTAGTATATAAGAAAAAGAGAGGAGGGTTGTTTATGTGATAACTGTTTATAGTGGTGTCACACTGCAGTTCACAGAACATTTCCATGTGCTGTTTTAATCCAACTTTGCCCTCATTTTACAGATGAGGAAGTTGAAGCCAAGAAAGGCTTTGGCTTGCCTGGTGCCACACAGCTGAATTATACAGTCAAGCCAGAGTTCAGATTCTAAACGTATCTAACGATAACGAGAGTAAAAGAATTGTCGTCAGAAGAGCTCGAGTTTGAATGCTTAAAGAGGTTTTTGGTTATCAGTAAATTGTAATTTTAGAACTGATTAGTTCTGAAACACTTTTTGTTATTATTAAGCACACACTGGTTCATTACATACAGTTAGAAGTGCCGAAGTAGAGGATCTACCTGCTGTCAGGGATTCCCTAAATAAATCCCCCAATTTCTTAGGGAAGATGAGAAATATATATAAATAGTTGCTATAAGATATAAATGAAAGTATGTAAGTTGGTCAGATATGATAGTTTGGGAGACTACATCAGGAATAATCAAGCTGTACTTTAAACATGTTATCATATATTTCTTTATTATTTTTTAAGGGGAAAAATTTAGATTTTATAATTCTCCTTTCAGACCATATTTTACATCCTTCCACGCCTCTCAGGCCTCATCGAAGATGAATGGATTGCCATTGATAAATTTACCAAATTCACCGATGTTCCTTTAGATGCAGGATTTCAGTGGTACCTTTCTGAAACTCAACTTTGTGAACTAAAAACAGGTGACTGGTCTCAGCAGGACATAGGTAAAAAGAATTTTTCTTTTTTTTTTTTCGTTGATAATAGTAGTTGATAATAACACTTTTTCATTGATGTGGGGAACTCTGCCCGTCCACTTAAAAGACCATGAAAAAATGTGCCATAACTTTGGCACTTTTAGTTGAAAGTTAGCTTTGCTGTAAAAAGCCAGAGAGAACCTGATCTGCTTTATATAAAGCTAATGGCTCCTCTTTTCTTTAGTGTAGTTAATTAATATTCATTGCTCTTCTACTGTATATGTCTATAAAAATAAAAATTTTTGAAAGGGCCAAATTATGAAATCTCTTTTTTTGTCCCTGTTAGGAATAAAGCAGAACTCTCGTGACCAGTCCCTTCTTGGTCTGCTTGGACGTCACTTCCTGCGTTAGCCCTTCCTTCTGTATCTCCCGCCTGCCTTGTGCACTGACTGCTTCCCTTTAGCTTTCTCTAGGACCCGAATTTCTGTCTGTTGCTTACCTCTGCTCCTCCCTGCTATAAAAAACCAAGGATCAAGTTCCCTACCCCATTTTAACAATCATAGCTAACCTTCTTAACAGTTGTGTAGTAGTCTGTATTGCTTTCAGTTCTGTCCCTCATGTTTTGTCCTCACTCTGCCCCGCCCCAGCTCATAACCGCCATTGAAACTTCTTCAGGAAATCAGAAATTTTCTTTGTCTCCTCCTTTCCAGAATCTAAATGGGCGCTCTTCTGTTATCATACCCGACCTTTCTGTAACATTTATTTCCTAGTCACCAGCTATCCTGATTTTTCCTAACTCTGACTCTCCTCCCTTTCTTTTTTTTGTTTTTGTTTGTTTCTTTTGGGGGGGGGTTGTTTGTTTTGGGACAGGGTCTTTCTCTGTCGCCAGGGCTAGAGTGCAGTGATGTCATCATAGTTCACTGCAACCTCAAACTCCTGGGCTCAAGTGATCCTCCTGCCTCAGCCTCCCAAGTAGCTGGGACTATGGGCGCGTGCCTGGCTAATTTTTCTACTTTTAGTAGAGATAGGGTCTTGCTCTTGCTCAGGCTGGTCTCAACCTTCTGACCTGAAGTGATCCTCGCACCTCGGCCTCCTAAAGTGCTAGGATTACAGGCGTGAGCCACCGCGCCCAGTTTCCTCACTCTCTTTTATGAGTTCCCCCATTTGTTCCTTACATTTGTGGTTCTCTAAACTTTTCGTGTTTTCAGGAATCCCTTGGACACCTTGTTAAAAATGCAGATTTCATGTCCCATTCTTAAATTTTAACTCAGTATCTCTGGAGGAGAGTTCTGGGAAAGTGCAATTTTTATCAGGCACTTTAGGTGGTTCACTAATGCATTTTAAGACATACCACCTTAGGCTGGGCATGGTGGCTCATACCTGTAATCCCAGCACTTTGGAAGGCTATGATGGGAGGATTGCTTGAGCCCAGGTGTTCGAGGCTGCAGTGAGCTATGATAACACCTGTACTCCAGCCTGGGCGACAGAGTGAGATCCTATATCTTTAAAAAAAAAAAAAAGACACATCACCTTAAATTTATTTATTCATTCAACAAAGATAGATTGTCTCCTGTGTGCTAGGCATAAGACCAAGTCCTTGCCCTCAGGGCGCTCACATTCTTACAGAGGAGACAGCCATAAACAGGTATCTACTAATGGGTCGGGTATTGAGCAGAGACCTCAAGGAAATGAGAACAAGGCAAGCCAGGATCTATCTGGGGAAGGGCTTTCTCGAATAAGGCAGAGTGAACGTGAAGATTCGGGGAGAAGAGATAGTAACAAAGGGCATTTCTTCAGTGTGGTCAGGTAGGGACTGGGAGGAGAGGAAAGAGGGGCAACATGTAGACAACTGTTGAGTTCTGCCTTAGAGCAGAGCCAGTAGATGGCGAAACAGCTAACGAGGTCTTTGTTTTGTTTGTTTTTGGTGAAGAGGGGCGTGCAATAGGGTTTTTATGCTGAGGCTTAAATGTTAGTACCCCCTGAATGTATTCATTGGCCTGGTCTTCTCACTCTGCGTGCTCTCCCTGAGCACTGTTTCAATGCCTGCAACTTGAAACCACCACCTCGATGACTAATGTTCAAACTTTCGTCTCTTTCACAGCCTCTTTCCTGAGCCTGCTGGACATTTTTACCCAGATACTCCATAAGCTCTGTAAAATCAACATCTAAACTAAATGTACCTTTCTGCCCAAACTGTGTCTGTATACCCTCTCTCTTAGCAGTGTCACTTGGTCATCATAGAAATTGTTCTTTTCCTGTTTTCTGTCTTGCCACATCATCTGTTACCCAATCTTGGTGATTTTCCTTCCAAAATCTAGCTTCTCCACCTCCTCTTTAAACCCTCTTGCATTGACTTAATTTAGACTGTCATTGTCTTTACCTGGACTCATGCAAAAGCCTTTTAATGGTTTTCTATCCCCAGTATAGCCTCCACATCGCTTTCACGAGGGAGTTCTCTAAAATACAACAGTAGTACTGTTTTCCCCCTTCTTAAAACCCTTCAGTGGCTCTTATCTGTAGGGTACGTTCTTTATCATTATAAGCAAAGCCCTCCCATCTGGTCCAAGCCATCTCCCTCCATTCCATTGCAGGCTGTGTGCTAAACTAGGGTACTTGCTGCTGCCTGGATCATTTTGTTCCACATCCCACGCATGTGCAGTGCTGTATCTACTGCCTGCTTTGCAAACTGTTGCCTCCCTTCCCGTGAGCCTTCCTGGGCCTCACGCTGTCCCATTCCTCCCCTAGACATTAATAATCCCCATCTGTGTGAGCGTAACCTCAACTGTAGTACTGTGCTACAGATATTTGCATGTCTTTTCCATCCCCAGTAAACTAAGTGCTCCTGGATTGCTCAGTGGTCAGTCTGGAGTAGGACAGAGTTGAGGAAGAGCCCAGGAAGTAGTGTCTCAGCCCTGTATTACAGAGGTGAAAACAGTGCAGGTAGATAGGTTAATAACATTCCGAGTACTTACCAGTTTAGTCAAGCGATAACTAACTGCTTTATAGAATATCCTTCATTTTTACAAAAGTTCTCACAAGTACTTTTATTTACAATAGAGATTTTATTTATATTGTTTTCAGGAATATAATATTTCCACAGAAAATTCTAATCTAATATACTGTTGTTTGTAAGATACACCATTATTTTATATACTACCAAGAAAAAAATGTTACCAAACTGTGACACCTTATTGATTCTAAGATGCTTCCCGATTTCAGATGTTAAAATGTGAAAAAATATGTATCTTATATTTTCATGAAATGCTGTAGTATATTGGTTAGTAGAGCTGAATTTGAAAACTTAAAATTCCTATTTAAAATGGCAGTTGCATCTGAATCCAAGTAAAGTTCTTTATTTAATGACAAATAAATCTCATTCTAAACTATCATTTTAAACTCTTAAAAATACATATAAAAGTGTAAATAAATACATATAGGGAGAGATTCAGATTCGTTTACATATGGGATTATTTTCTTCGTCCCTCCCAGGTTCTGACTCGGTTGAAGCAGATAGCCAGTCGGAGGGGACCAACGTTCAGAGGAAGATCATCCCATGGAAAAACAAGGCTCCCGAGTTAGACCTGGAGCTCGTGTTTCAGGATCGTGCTGCCAAACTTGGAAAGTCGATTAACAGATTGATTGTAGTGGCCTCACTCATTGATAAACCAACCAATTTAGGAGGTAAAATTGTAGTTTTCCAAGGAGCTTGCTTAATATCTTTTGGTCTTAAAATTTTTTAATCAGACTACTGCCATGGGAACTTCAAAGAAATGTGCGGGACATAATGAGCTCAGAATTGTATTGGAAACAACCACGATAATTTCAGATTGTTTTGTGCAGGACTTTGCAGGACCTGTGAGATATTTGGGGCCTCCGTGCTCGTTGTTGGCAGTCTTCAGTGTGTCAAGGACAGACAGTTTCAGCACCTCAGTGTCTCAGCAGAACAGTGGCTTCCTTTAGAGGAGGTGGGTGGAAAGTAATTTATTATTAAAGTTTTTACTTGTGAAAATATTTTGTAGTGCTCTATCTTCATGTATTAGTCCTTTTGCAATAATATGTAGTAGCATAGCCTTTAATGGTTTAAAAATAATACTTAAAATACAGCCTACTTCTGTTCCCCTATTTCTTTTATTGTATTTCACATTGTTGTATTTTTAGAAATCATCAATAATGTAGAATTCTTTTCAGTAAAATATGTCCTGTTATGGCTTACTCTTGATTTAGGAATAATTCTTATAGATTTACATGATGTTGGGAGTTCTTTTTTATAGTATATAAATCTGTCCTTTTAAAAAGACTTAGTTTAATAAGTTGGATTTTTGTGGTTTTTTTTGTTTTTTTTTTTTAAGCTCTCATGTTACTCCAAGCAGGACTATAACTGAATGGTTTAATATCTACTCTTTTTCAACTAATATTAAGGTAAAACCACCTCAGCTAATTGATTATCTGCAACAGAAAAAAACAGAAGGTTATACCATCGTTGGAGTGGAACAGACTGCCAAAAGTATAGACCTAACCCGATATTGCTTTCCTGAGAAATCTCTACTCTTGTTGGGGTAAGAAAATTCTGTTGCTCGTATGTTCTCTGAGCCCCAGTCTAGAAGATGTTACCTTTCTAATTTACAATTTGCCTAGACTCCTGATACCCTGACTTTTTTGACTTGTTAATGGAAAGCCTCCCTAGTTTTCCTTTCATTCACCTGCCTGGGATGGTCAGATGAACACAGAACTCTCACCCATAAGTCTTTTTGTTATACTCTGAGTTATTTCCTGGTACCACAGACTTGCTTCATTTGTAATCTGTCCCCTTCAGTAACATTCAGAATATCTAAGAGTCTTCTTGCCTGCTGGTCCTAGAAAGTAATAATAATAAAAAAAAAAAGAATATCTAAGAGAAAAATTGTTTAATACAGGAAAACTAACCTTTCTTCCCCCACTTTCTTTGTCAGAAATGAACGTGAAGGAATTCCAGCAAATCTGATCCAGCAACTGGATGTTTGTGTGGAAATTCCTCAACAGGGCATTATCCGCTCGCTGAATGTTCACGTGAGCGGAGCTCTGCTGATCTGGGAATACACCAGACAACAGCTGCTCAGGCGTGGGGACACCACGTCACGAAGTCTGTGCCTTATCTGAGCTGAATTGTCAGTGCTATTGAAACTTTTTTTTAAAAAAGCTGTTTGGACTCATGAAATAGATTCTGAAATTTACTAGGATAATTTATGTTTCTTTTTTCTTGCAATTTAATGCCAAAACTTTTTCATGTGCCTTAAATCCATTACTGCATATTGTCCCCTTTAATAAACACTTTGAACTAAAATTGTATTGCTTCTTTAATACAATATTTTAAGCAATTGTGGAAATAAAACGTATTTTAAAGAGATAATTTCTTTCCTAGAAGCTAGTACTGTCAGAAATGAGGACTGTGGTAACAGTAAGACAGAATTAAAGCAGGTCGTCTATGAATACCCACACCCTTAAGTCGTGAGGGGACCACGGGGAGGTTGCGGTAAAGGTTCTGAATGAAGAGGAGTCATTGGCCTCTTTTTGTTGCTTTGCATCTACTGTTCCCTCTCAGATGCCAGCCAGCTTCCCGGTGAGGTCCATGGGGCCCAGGTGATAGGCTGTAATTTGTTTTTAAAGCCGTGAAGTAGGCCATAATCCTTCACATTAAGTTTTTATGAAATTTTTCACATACCACCTTTGCTCAGAGAGATCAAATAGTGGTTAGAAATCATCTGTATTCTGACAACTATAAACATGAACCTAAGGGAATGGAATCACTCCTTTATGTCATCAAAACTGAGAATGAAACTCGTGATGAGTGTGGATTTACTGTTTGTGTTCTTGATTTTTTTTTGGTTCAATATTTAGATTATTTCATTATCTAATGGTAGCTATTTATCACCATCCAGCAATAAACTTAAATTATGTCTGGTCCCTTTTAATATTTAAATTTCAGAGTTCCTTACCTGTATATGTTTTTATTTCTGCAGTTTTATTTTGAAATGACTTCTGTTTTGCAGAAGGGTTGCAAAGAGAGTGCTCAGTTTCCATATACCCTTCACCCAGATGCTTCCTATGTGATCTTACATAACCATGGTACATTTATTAAAACCAAGAAATTGACATTGATAATGGTGCTATTCACTAACGTACAGACTTTATTCAGATCTCCCATTTTTCCACTGTCCTTTTTCTGTCCCAGGAGCCAACCCAGGATACCAACTTGCACATACTCATTGTGTCCCCTTGGTCTCCGATCTGACAGATGTTCAGTCTTTCCTTGTCTTTCATGACCTGGACACTTTTGAAGAGTACTGGCCAGGTACTTTGTAAATGTCCCATAATTTGGGTTTGTCTGGTGTTTTCTCATTAGAGTGAGATTGTGGGTTTTAAGGAAGAACACTACAATGGTGAAGTGCCTTTTCATCACATCGTGTTAGTGCATGGCATCAGCAGGACCGACTACCTCGATCATTTGGAGAAGGTTGTGTTTGCCACGTTCTTCTCCGTACAGTTGCTGTCTTCCCCTTTCCAGTCTGTTAAAAGTGAGTCACTAAGCCCAGCAGCCTACACGCAAGGGTAGGGAAAGTAAGCTCCCTTTTGGAGGGAGGAGTATCAAAGAATTCAGGAGCACCTATTAAGACTACCACAGTAATTAATGAATATCTGGGGGGGAGGGATATACTTGGAGGTTATACAAATTATAGGCCTTTTTAGCAGATGGAGCTAGGGAATCTCTCTGCCAACCCATGGATGGCACGTATCTGTAGATGTCTCTGTATTTATCAATGTCTAGGATGTGAACATAAGCATGAGTTCTTACTGTTACCTCTGACACCAGTCTAGCACCACGGGGTTGATTCTAACATTCCCTTCTTGCTTATTTTTAACTGCTTTTACTGACATAAATCAGGTTCACAATACCTATATCAAGTGTTCAACCTTAGTATATTAATACATGTAGTTTCAGAAATTGCTAATTTAGCAACTTGTGTGTAGTTCATTTTGCCTTTAGCCTTCCAGCATCCAGTCAAAACACCATTTTCCAAAGTTATTTAGATCAGTCCCATTCTTGCCCACCTCTTTCAGTGAGGTTATGCCATGTAGTTATAATATGGTTAGATTCACTTGTCACAACCTTCATTCCATACTGGAAACTCCCCACCTCTCCCCAATATCCTGGTTGATTTTATTTTAACATACAGTCAAAGTCACTCTTAGAGTGTGCAGTCTGGGTTTTGACAAGCACACTCATGGATCCACCACCATGGTGCTGTGGAGAACAGTTTCATCCCCCTAAAAATTCCTCTGTGTAACCCCTTCACAGTCAACCCCCTTCCTCATCCCCGACCACTGGCAACCACTGATCTGTTTTCTACCCTACAGTTTTGCCTTTTCCAGAATCGTATAAATGGAAGCGTAAAACAGCCTTTTGGGTCTGGCTTCTTTAACATAGCAAAGTGCATTTAAGGTTTATATATGCTGTTGTATGAATTAGAAGTTCATTTTTTTTTTTTTTTTTTTTTTGAGACAGAGTCTTGCTCTGTTGTCTGGGCTAGAATGCCTCACTCACAGCAACCTCAAACTCCTGGGCTCAAGCGGTCCTCCTGCCTCAGCCTGCCGAGTAGCTGGGACTACAGGCATGCGCCACCATGCCCGGCTAATTTTTTCTATACATATTTTTAGTTGTCCAGATAGTTTCTTTCTATTTTTAGTAAAGACGGAGTCTTGCACTTGCTCAGGCTGGTCTCGAACTCCTGACCTTGAGCGATCCACCCGCCTCGGCCTCCCAGAGTGCTAGGATTACAGGCGTGAGCCACCGCGCCCAGCCTTAGAAGTTCATTTTTTCTTACTGCTGAGTGGTATTCCATTGTGTAGTTGAACCATAGTTTGTTTATCCACTCCTCTGTTGTAGGCAGCTGGGTAGTTGCAAGTTTTTGGTGATTATCAATAAAGTTGTTTTGAAAAAACATTCATGTGCAGGTTGTGTTTTCATTTCATTTGGTGGCAGTGGGATTGCTGGTAAGCATATATTTAACTCTGTTAAAAAAAAAACAAAACCTGTTTTCCAAAGGGACTCTACTATTTTGCATTCCCACCAGCAGTAGATAAGAATGACTGTTGTTTATACTTGGCAGCACTTAGTATTGTCAACTTTTAAAATTTAAGCCATTCTCATAGGTGTGTTGTGATGTATCATTGTGGTATTAATTTGTATTACTCTAATGTTTAATAACATGGAGCATCTTTTCATATATTTTTTATTGTATATCCTCTTTTGAGAAGTATTTAGTCACATAATTTGCCAATTTTTTAAAGTGGGTTATTTTTCTTAAGAGTTAATAAGTTATTTATTCTGGATACAATTTCTTCATGAAACGTGATTTGCAAACATTGTCTCCCAGTCGGTAATTTATCTTATTCTTTCAGTACTGTCTTTCACGGAACTAAAGTTTTTAATTTTGATAAAGTTCAATTTAGCTTTTACTTTATGGATTGTGCTTTTGATGTTTTAGCTAAAAATTCATTTCTAAACCCAAGATCACATAGAATTTCTTCTAGAAGTTTTATAGTTCCATGCTTTACATAGAGGTCTATGATCTATTTTATTTTTTATATACAGTGTGAGGTATATGATTTTTTTTTTTTTGTATTTGGATGTGTAATTTTTCCAGCACCATTTGTTGAAAAGATTATCCTTTTTCGGTTGAAGTGCCTTGCACCTTTGTCCAAACTCAGTTGACTATGTGTGGGTCTGTTTCTAGACTCTGTTCTTCCATTATGTCTGTCCTTTTGCCCATACCATACTGTCTTGACTACTACAGCTTTATAACATCTTGAAATCATGTAATGTGAATCCTCCAACTTCGTTCTTTTCAAAATTGTTTTGACTATTTTTGTTCCTTTGCTTTTCCATATAAATTATAGAATCAGTTTGTTGATATCTACAAAAAAGCTTGTTGGGATTTCAATTATGATTGTGTTGAACCTATAGATCAAATTGGGGAGAATTTAACAATATCAAGCAATATTAAGCTTTCTAATCCATGAATACAGTACAGTTGTCCCTCGGTATTCATGTGGAATTATTTGAGACACCCTACAGATACCCAAATCCACTAAATCCCTCATATAAAATGGTGCAGTATTTGCATATAACCTATGTACATCCTCCAACATACAGGCATACCTCATTTTACTGCATTTTGCTTTATTGTGCTTGACAGATACTGGTTTTTTTTTGTTGTTTTTTTACAAATTAAGGTTTGTGGCAACCCTGAGTTAAGCAAGTCTATCGGTGCCATTTTCCAACATCATGTTCTCACTTTGTGTCTCTATGTCATGTTTTGGCAATTCTCGCAATATTTCAAACTTTTTCATTGTTATGTCTGTTAATGGTGATCAGTGATCTTTGATGTTACTATTGTAATTGTTTTGGGGCACCACAAACTGTGCTCATACAAGACAGTGAACTTAATCCATAGTTTAAGTGTGATCTGACCTCTCCACCAACTGGCTGTTTCGTCTCTCCCCCTCTCCTCAGGCCTCCCTGTTCCCTGAGACACAACAATATTGAAATTAGGCCATTTAATAACCCCACAGTGGCCTGTAAGAGTTCAAGTGAAAGGAAGAGTCACACGTCTCTCACTTTAAATCAAAAGCTTAGTGAAGAGGGCATGTTGAAAGCCAATATAGGCCAAAAGCTATTAATAGGTTGTGCCAACTAGCCAAGTTGTGAATGTAAAGAAAAAGTTCGTAAAGGAAATTAAAAGTGCTACTCCAGTAAACACAGGAATAAGAAAGTGAAACAGCCTTATTGTTGATAGGGAGAAAGTTTAGTGGTCTGGATAGATCAAACCAACCCCTACATTCCCTTAAGCCAAAGCCTAATCTGGAGCGAGGCCCTAACTCTTCAATTCTGTGAAGCCTGGGAGAGGTGAGGAAGTTATAGAAGAAAAGTTTGAAGCTAGCAGAGATTGGTTCATGAGGTTTAAGGAAAGGAGGTGCAAGATGAAGCAGCAGGTTATCCAAAAGAACTAGCTAAAATCATCGATCAAGGTGGCTACACTAAGCAACAGATTTCAGTATAGACAAAACAGCCTTCTATTAGAAGATGCCATCCAGGACTTCCGTAGCTAGAGAGCAGAAGTCAATGCCTGGCTTCAAAGCTTCAAAAGGGGCTAATGCAACTGTTGACTTTAAGTTGAAGCTAGTGTTCATTTACCATTTCAAAAATCTTAGGGCCCTTAAGAATTAGCCTAAATCTACTCTGCCTGTGCTCTATAACTGGAACAACAAAGCCTGGACGACAGCACATCTCTTTACAGCATGGTTTACTAAATATTTCAAGCCCACAGTTGAGACCTACTGCTCAGAAAAAGACTCCAAAATATTACTGCTTATTGACAACACACTTAGTCACCCAGGAACTCTGATGGAGGAAGTAACTGCAGGTGCGGTAGAAATAGCCAGGAAGCTAGAATTAGAAGTGGAGCCTGAAGGTATGAGTGAACTGCCGCACTCTCATGATCAAACTTGAAAGGATAAGGGGTTGCTTCTTGTGGATGAATAAAGAAGGTGATTTCTTGAGATGGAATCCACTCCTGGTGAAGATGCTGTGAACACTGTTGAACTGACAAACAAACGGATTTTGAATATCACATAAACGTGGTTGATAAAGCAGCAGCAGGGTGTAAGAGGATTGAGTCCAATTTTGAAAAGTTCTACTGTGGGTAAAATGCTATCAAACAGCATTGCATGCCACAGAGAAGTCTTTTGTGAAAGGGAGACTCAATCAATGGAGCAAATTTCATTGTCGTCTTGTTTTAAGAAATTGCCATGGCCACCCCAACCTTCAGCAACCATCATTCTGATCAGTCAGCAGACATCACCATGAAGCAAGACCTTCCACCAGCAAAAAGATTACAACTTGCTGAAAATTCAGCTGATCATTAGCATTTTTTAGCAATAAAGTTTTTGATTAAAGTCTATACAGTTTTCAGAAATAATGCTATTGCATATTTAATTGACTAGAGTGTAGTATAAACATAACTTTTATATGAACTGGGAAACCAAAAAATTCATGTAACCTGCTCTATTGTGATATTTGCTTTATTGCAGTGGCTTGGGATTGAACCTGCAATATCTCCAAGTTATGCCTATCCTTTTTTTTGTTTTTTTGACAGTGATTGAAGCTTATTCAATAATGGCAATAATTCAAAAACAACCCCCTTGTTCAAACTTAGCCAGCTGCTTCTTACTAGCTAAATATATGATGTTGTGCCCATACAATGGGAGGCTGATTCCATTAAAGCCATATGCCTGCACTTTCAATCCCTAGATTACTTATACTACCTAATACAATGTAAATGCTATCTAAATAGTTCTGTATTTTTTATATCATTTTTTAATTGATTTTTCTTTTCCTATTTTTAAGCCACAATTGGTTGAATCTGGTGGACGTGCAACCTGCAGACACAGGCGGCCAACTGTATAGCTCTCCATTGAACTAGATCACCTCTGCTTTCAAGTGTTAGGTAGTTCTCAGCATCCAGGCCTCCATATGTTGTTAGATTTATACCTAAATATTCCTCTACTTTTTATTTTGTTGGTACTATTATAAATGGTATATTTTTTATTGTAAATTCCAATTGTTCATTGCTGATATGTAAGAATATAATTTTGCATATATTGACCTTATTTCTTGCAACTTTTGACTTATTATTATAATTCTAGTTTTTTTGTCCATCTTTTGGTATATTCTACAAGATAATCATACTATCTGTGAATAGAGCCAATTTTATTTCTTCCCAATATGTATGCTTTTTATTGCCTTTTTTTTTTTGCCCTACTGAATTAGCTAGGAATCCAGTCACTATCTCATCTTTAAGTATGATATTAGCTGTAGGATTTTTTATAGATGGCTTTTATTATTTCACCTGCATATTTTAAATTCAACCTTCTTTCAACCTCATTTTGTAGTGCCTGTATTAAGATGCCAACTCCCAGGGACATACAATGACAATCTACTTATTTCAGTTTCTGTTTGTCTCTATGATCAATAATATTTGCCTACTACCCATCCTCTAATTAAAAAAAAAAAAGTATAAGTATTTTTATAATGGGTTTTAATTTTTTTCTTAAAATGTAGACTTCTTACTAAATTAAAATTAAGCATATTTAATACCATTTTATTTCAATTCTTCATGGATCTTCTATTCCTTGATCCTTTCAGTTATTAAGTGTTGTACACAGGGAACAAGCACTGATGTTTACCATGATTCAAACTATTGTCCCACAGTCAGTGGAGCTTTTTGAATGTCCAGAAAGAGTAGTTTCAACCATTTTGAAAAGTTCAAGAACAGCTTAGGATTTTGCAGTTCTTTTTAAAGGCTGGGGTTTTCCTGCTTCAAATTCTTCTTTAAATTTTAAGAAGTCTCTTCTTTTATCAAAATATTTTACCTGTCGAGAAAAAAAGGATTTGAAATACGGGCAAGTTATGCAGCTTAGGTAATGCAAAAGCACAGATTTAAATGTAACAAATTAAATTTACAATATAAGTTCTATAAGTGGTTTAAGTTATTTATACTCTAGAACCATTTTTAATCAGGGCTTTTGATGAATAAGTTACTCCCTGGACAAGACAAGTGCTTTAACCGATGGGGAACACAGTCATTCCTCTCCTTTCTCCCTTGGCAGCGCAACTGGCTGAAGAGAGCTTGCACTCAGCTCTGCCCTGGGAGGGCAGTGGGAGAGTGAGAGGGTCTATTAGCCATTAGCTTGGAGAAAAAGCAGTGAGTTGTAGAGGGGGGGAGAGAAAGAATAAAAGTGGGACTTCCCAAAGGGACTAGGCCAATGACTCCCAACCATGGTTATCCCCCAGAATCCCCTGTGGAGCGAGAGCCCTTTTAAAGGAAGGGCTCTACTTCTAAAAATTCATTAGATCTGAGATGAAGTCTAAGACGTATCTTTTTAAAAAAATGTCCCAACGATTCTGATACTTAACCTGAGTAGAAAATTACAACCATGCTGTTAAAAGACAACTCTCATAGCGATAAGGTTGTCCTGGGAAAATGTGAGGGTGGGGTGGGGGTAGAACCTGCCAACACTCAAGTCACGTCTTATCCCTAATAGCTGGCTCTTCATCACCCGAACCACCCCCACCACCAGGGCCCCAAGTCACTCTTTGCTCTCAGCCTCACCCTGCTCTCAATCACCCTGGGGCCAGAGAGAGGAGACTAAGACCACCCAGGAGGAGAAAGTACAGGCAGTAGTAGTATTAAGGTGTCAAAGGATTTATCTTTGATGTCAGCCCCAATTCTGACATTTTCCACCTATTCTTAAACCAGGAGGTGCTCTCGATGCATCTATCTAAGGGGAAGACCACAGCTGTACATTTTCTGCTTGAATCATTATCTAATTCAATCAGAAAGTCCCATGTTTATCAGTTTTGTTTATACATCTGATCTTCATAATAATCCCATGAAATGGGTTGTATCATGCTGATTTTACAAATGAAGAGTTCATCTAAGGAAACTTCTACTCAATGCATTCCTCCCCAGCTCAGCCCACCAATATGACCCCCACTCTCCACCACACCCTTCTTGTGGTCTCCTTCAAAGCCCCAGACTACACATTGAAAAATTTGAGGCGTGAAAGAATAAAGACCTTAAAACCACTTCATTTCTAAAATTATCTGTTCTCAAACTACATGGTATACTTCGGAGTAGCATCAAAGAATGAAAAAGCATGTTCAGATCTCGTAACAGCGAGCTGGGCCTGCCTTAGAATTACAGCTCTGCCACTTACTGAATAATTAATACCGTGAAATTTATTTCAATGCTCTGCGCATCAGCTGCCTCTAGAAATTGAGAGGAACAGTACCCGTCGTAAAGGTACTGATGAAGATGAAAAGTCAGGCACTTAGCACGTAGGGCCTCTTAGTAACCTCAATTTTAGTTCCTTTCCCAATCCCCCCTTACGCTATGGATGGGCAATACACAGCATGAGTACCAGCTGGGTTAGCGAGGCAGAACCCACCACAAGAACCTTTTCTTTCCTCTGCTTACCAAACTCCTTTCTTTATATTTGGGCATAAGACTATATGATTTCGTGTGATCAAATGGGAATGCTTTATTTTTAATAGTAGCTCTAGGCTCGAATTTGCCAACTCCTGCCCAAGATTAAATACTACTCCTTCAGAAGATCCCCGAGAAGTCTACCAGTGAAGTGAGCTGGAATTTTTTGGTTATTGTTCATATGTTTGTTGTTGTGTTTTTGAATGATCTTTAATGTGTCAGGTGACATCCTCCAAAGGTTGGCCTGATGTAAGTATATAAAACAAGCCTGGATTACCAGACAAGGTTTTCTCTGCTTCTCAAAGAAACTATTGATTGACATAACTCAGTGCTTCATTTCTTAGCCTACCACTCACACTGTGAGCTCAACGTATTTTAACAGGGAACAGAAACACATCAGTGTTACTTACCCACTGCTGGGGACAACTTGATTCAAATGAGCTTCTTAACTTCTTGCATTGAGAAGCATCCTCTGTGTTCTCATCTAAACACTTCCAGTACTCGTCCCGGGCACCCCAGCAAGCCTGCCTTTCCTTCATGGTTGGGGCTGCCATTCCTAGGGGGATCAAGCTGTTGGCCAAAATAACATTTGACATTAACAATGAACTAGTAATCTAAAGAGAAGGCAAGGGAAAGAAAAAAACTGACATTGCCCCTTTCCTTTTTTTTTAAAAAAAGTTATGTTTCGGGATTTTAGTGGTGCAACTGAAACCAATCAGTTCTCAATTAATGATACCCTAAGAGCGCTCGCTCTGGCTTATCTCACACCCTGTGTAATCTGATGCACCGCTGGGGCCGCAGCTTGGTCTCAGAAAACCCAAGTTAGAACTGCGGCGCTCTCACACCCTCTGCCACTTAGGGCAGCTCACTTATTCTCTCCAAGACCGTTTCCCCATCGGTAACGCGGGGACAGCAGTGCCCATTTTACAAGGTTGCTGTTCGAACCAAAGCGCTGTGCAAATAAGTGTGAGGGGACACGATCACCGAGCAGGAGTAGAAGTGTCACGCCGTTCTGCACTAGAGAAACCCGCGACAAGGAGAGAGCAAGGGACTCCCCGGGCCCATTCTCCACGCCCCGCCCGGACACACCAGCAAGCCGGCCTCCCGGTCCGCCCAGGTCTGGCTTCCCTCCGGCGCCAAGGGGAAGGAAAGGGTCACGCAGCTTAACAGCCAGCAGAGGACGGCGCAGTGCCGAGTCCTGGCGCTGCAAGGTCGCCGCGTCGGCTCGAGCTCAACAAGTGTAGCCCTCCCCAACCGCAAAAATCAATTCATGCGGCCAAACAGCGGCCTTATGCTGACCCTCACGAGCTACCGTTAAATCTTCAGGGAGGGGCGGGACTTCCTGTTCCGTTCTTTTTTTACCTGTTGGACTGACTTCCGGCCTGGGAAGGCGAGGTTGGTGGTTCCTGCCTTGCGGAGCTGGAGGGTAAATGGGAATCAGTCACTGCTGAGAGCGGGTTTGGCCTTATTAACGTCTACGTCTTTCCCTACGTTTGTCCACATCTTTGACGGACTATGCCTCAAATTTAAATTTTCATATGTTTCTCGCCCAGCATTGCCCGGAAGGCTTAACTTGCGAGCCCTGCCGGACAAGGCGACCTGGGGGCTTCGTGTGCAAGTTTGCACCTGAGGGGGCGGGAGCTGAACGGGGCGTGACGGAGCTGTGACGTCTTAACTCCGCGCCTCATAAATTAAAAAAAAAAAGAAAACGAAACCGTCCCATAAAGAGGCGGTGACGTCCCAGGACCCATGGCAAATTAATGACCAAGCTGAGAACCAGGGAAGTACAGATTGGTCAAGGGAGTGAGGAAAATAAGTATTTGTATTGCTTTAATCTTACTTGTGGCTTTTTTATCCCCTTACCGCCAAGATTTTTTAAGAAGGGATGAGAAGAGCTACTTAAAATATTTTGAGAGGATGTTATTTTTAATATATGAATTCGTATCTCTAAGCACTGTCAATGGAAAAGAAGACAAACTCTGTAAAATAATTCAAAGAGGTTTATTCTGAGCCAAATTTGAGGACCATGACCTGGAGCCAGGCCCAAGAAGCCTTGAACAAGTGGATTGGCTGTGGTTGGGTTATAGTTTGGTTTTATACATTTCAGGGAGAAAGGAATTACAGATAAAGTCATAAATCAGTACATGGAAGGCATACATTGGTTTGGCCCAAAAAGGTGGGGCATCTCAAAGCAGAAGCTTACAAGCCATAGGTGGGTTTAGGGATTCTTTAGTTGACAATTGGCTGAAAGAGTAAGGCTTTGTCTAAAAGACCAGGAGTCAGTGAAAAGAAATGCTTGAGTTAAGATAAGGGTCTTCTATCTTTCTTGTGTTAGAAAGCTATATCAGAATCAGGTTGGGAAGTAAACCTCATTATATTGGGTTAACATAACCTTTTTTGTGAGATTTTATCATTTGTAGGCATGACTCACCAGGCCCCCTTAGAAAGGAGTTTGAGCAAAAGAGAAAGATTAGAGTTTAGTCCTCAGGACAATCTTTATTAAAAAGCATGTTTATGGTCAGTCGTCTGGTATCTCGTTCTCAACAGATTCCATCTGCTCCATCATCTAGTTTTAAAGTGCCTGTGTAATTCATAAGCAATTTACAGCTCTGCACTCAGTGCTGGTGTTCCATTCTTTCTAAATTCAACATATACAGACTTAGGGTGGCTATGTGAAGCTAAGTACCACCACATATATATGTTCTATAATATGGAAAGTATTTCTCTAATAGGTAATGGACTCTAATAGTGGATTGCTTTAGCTTTATCAGAGCCACCCACTTCTTTTACGCTATGTTTTATCAAGGTCAGTTTATGTAAGATAATGTCTTTTGTAAGATAATGTCTTATGTAAGATAATGTATGATTAATGAGGTATAAAAGGGATGAAAGGAATCTTCAGTGGCTTCTGAGTCTAAAAAAAATAAATATATTTTAAATTTAAAATTTATATGTACGTATTGGTAAATATACATGAACCATAAAATGAAACTTGACACAATTAGAAAGAAAAACATTCCTGGTCATATTGGGTGATTTTAAGAGGCCTTTCCCAGTAATTGTTAAGCAAGAGAAAAATCAATAAAGATGTAGCAAATTTGAATAACATGATTTGCAAACTTGACCTAATTAATATATACAGAATAATGCAACCCAAATCAGAATATATAAACATGGCACATCACTAAAATCGACCACATACTTAGCTATAAAGCAACTCAACAGATTTTAAAAATTGAAAATCATTTAGCACATTTATTTTTTTTACCACAATGCAATTAAGATAGAAATCAATAAAGAACTATGAAAACAAGTCCAAATAGCCCATATACCAAGAGTCAATGGTAATGAGAAAATATTTTGAACTGAACGATAAAATACCATAGCAACACCTGTGGGATGAAGCTAAAACAGTACTTAAAGGGACATTAATAGCCATAAACAAGTATATGAAAAAAGAGATGGAAACATCTTGAGCTAAACATCCCTTTTCAAGAAGTTAGAAAAAAGAGAGCAAAATAAGACTAAAGAAAGTAGAAGCACAGAAATAATGTTAAGAACAGAAATTAACATAAAATGGGAAACAAAAGCAGTGGTATGCCAGAGCTAGCTCATACTGGTTTGGGATAGCCAATTGTGCACACCTCTTTCCAGCTCTATGATCAATAACATCAATTGGTAGCTTGAAATTGCTCATGATGGGAAAATTCACATTATGGAAATCAGCAACCAAGCCAGGAGTTTGTTTTGTTATGTTTGGAGCCAATTCACTAGCACACCACCGCATATCACAGATTGAAAAAACTCAAAAGTTGACTTTTTGAAAAAAAAAAAAACTAATAAAATTGACAAACATCTAATGATATTGCACAATAAAAAGAGAGATGTAATCTATATCGGTAATGGAGACTACAGATACTATAGACATCAAAAAGGTAGATGATCTTATAATTTAATGTAAATAAAATAAGAGTAGAGAATATGAACAATAGTCCTATACCATTAAATTACTTGAATCAGTGATAAAGAATCTCCATACACAAATTCCAGGTACATGGCTCCACCAGTATGTTCTTCCAAACTTTGAAGTAATTCCATTCTTACTGCATAAGACCACCATAACTTTTGTACTAATTACAAAATCCCCAAACCTCTGAAACACCAAATTCTTTGGAACTCATTTGGTGAAAAATATGACTTAAAGGGACATGAGACTCTTTATAGTTGTTATTTACATATCACTTAGGTGACTATGCATATGTTTTGCTATAGAAATATTAATGCATTTGGTTATGAGTACTGTCCCAGTTCTTGTTGAGAATGCTGTATAATGTATGTTCCATTGTATCTTTCCAATATCGGAAATAGTCTGTATTCCAAATGTATCTAGCTCCAGAGATTTCAGATAAGTTATGTGGACTTGTCTGAGAACATATCTTTATGGCCTTTGGGTGGAGAAGAATTTTTTTAGCCATAAAGGAAAAGTTTAGTAATACATAAAATAATGTATTACATTTAAAAAATGGGCTACATAAAAATAATGAACTTTTGTTTACCAAACAATACCATAAAGCAAGTAGAAAAGACAAATCACGATGTGGGAGAAGTTTGCAAAACATATAACAAAGAATTAGTACCTAAAATATGTAAAGAACACCTACAAATCAATAAGAAATATACCAGTTAATTTTAAAAATGGTCAAAAGGCTTAAATAGGTACAGCCCCAAGGAGGAAAATGCAAGTGACTAATACATGAAAATAGCAACATTCTCATTAGTAACCGCAGAAATGAACATGAAAATCACAATGCAATATGATTAGATACCCACTAGGTCAAAGAATAATTAAAAATTTTTAACAAGGATGAAGCAAGGAGAATCCTCATACACTGGTGGCAATATAAATTGATGCAATCACTTTGGGGCAACATCGTGGCATTATCTAGTAAAATTGAAAATACATGTTCATTATGACTGAGCAATTCTACAGAATCACTTGCACATGTACATTTTTGTAATAGCTAAAACCAGCATACAACCCAAACTTATATCAACAATAGAATGGATAAATTATAGTATAGTCATACTGTGAAATATGATACAGCAATGAAAAGGAAGAAACTATCACTATTTACAATAACATGAGGAATTACAATATTGAGATTACCAAACAATAGACACAGTATGTTTTCACTTGTATAAAGTCCAAAAACTGGCAAAACTCAACTATATTGTTTAGGATACGTGCATAAGTAGTAAAGGTATAAAGAAAAGCAAAGAAATGATTATCATAAATGTTTCTCTCTAGGGTGAGAAAGGAAATTTGATAAGGGAGGGCTATATGGGGAGCTTCTGGGATGTGGACAGTGTTCTATTTCTGGACCTGGGTGTTTGCTTTATATTAAGGTCATTAAATGTCCGATTTCAAATCAAAAGTTTATTATATCTCAAACAAGCAGTACAATTAATCAAAGCATGCGCCTGAACTATCGACACAGTTTTGCCATCTTAACAGTAGCTTGCTTATGCCAGCAATGAAGAAGCCTGGAGAACAAGTGGTGATGAGATTGTCAACAGTGTTTTCCACAGCTTGTTGAGAAATGAATATTTGTCCTTGAAAGAAGTGGTCCAAAGCCGGGAAGAAATGGTAGTCAGTTGGTGCAAGGTTTGGTGAATACAGTGGATGACAGAGAGTTTCCAAGTCCAGCCTCTGTAGTTTGAGCAGCATTGTTTTTTGCGACATACGGTCTTGCTAGACGATTGGCCTGTTCTATTGACCAGTCTCAGCTGTGTAATCACAAGCGTCCTGATCATTTCATCCAATTGGCTGCAGCAGACATCTGCTGTAATTGATTGACCAGGTTTCATGAAGCTGTAGTGGATAATACTAGTGCTGGACCAACAAACAGACACTTTTTTTTGATGAATATTCATTTTTGGACTGCATTTCAGCACTTCTTTATCCAACCATTGTGCCAAACGCTTGCAATTGTCAAAAAGAATCCATTTTTCATCACATGTAACAATACAGTGTAGAAATGGTTCGCCTTTATGTCATAACAGCAAAGAAAGGCAAGCTTCAAGATGATTTGTCTTCTGATGCTCATTTAATTCACACAGAACCCATCTGTCCAGCTTCTTTACCTTGCTGATTTGTTTCAAATGGTCTAATATTGTTGGACTAGTAACGTGAATCCTTGCTGCTAATTCACACACAGGTTGAGATGGATTCACTTCCACTGCGGATTTCAGCTCATCATTATCCACCTTGGTCTCAGGTCACCCACG